GCGGGGGAGGGGTGCCGGTTGTGCTGAGTAACGGCGGCGGGCGGCTGTCAGCGCCCCGGCCCGCAGCTCCGCGGACACAGAAGGCGCGGCCCGCTGGCAGGGCTGCTCTCCCCGCGGCCTACGGAAGCGGCAGCGCCGGCCTCGCCTCGCCGAGCGACTGCATCGGAGCGAGCGGCGGCTTCAGCGACGGAGGGGCAAGCGGCAAGGCGGGGCGGGACCGGCCGCAGCCCACCAATGGGGGCGCAGCCCGCAGCGCCGCTCCGGCCACTCAGGCTCCGCCTGAGGGCGGGTGGGCGGGAAGAAGAGAAGCGGCCGCGAACCGTGGTGGGCGGAGGAGTGATACAGACGTCAGCTCCGGACCAATGGCGAGACGGGGAGGGGGGGAAGAGGGGAGGGCGGGACGCAGAGCGGTTCCGGGGCAGGCGCCGCCGGCGGTGGCCGTTGCCCGGGGGATGAGCTCGGAGAAGGGGAACGTGTCGCGCACGCGGCCCCAGCGGTACCAGAACGTGCGCGCCTTCAAGAACGACAAGTACGACACCAGCGCCCGGCGTAAGGTAAGCGGCGGGGAGGCCAGAGCTACGGGGGGCGGGATCGGGGTCGGGGTCAGGGTCGGGGTCGGTCACCGGCCCTTCCGCTCCCCTCCCGGTAGAGCGCCGGGCCGGGCCCCGCAGGTCGCTGCCCGGTAGACGCGGATGCGTGAGTCCTGGGGCGGTTGGGTGGCGCTTGGCGGCGAAAGCGTGGTCAGGAGGCGCGGCGGCCTGCGGCGGCCTGTGCGGCGGGGTGTCCCTCTGCGGCCTTCAGGGCGGGAAGGGACGTCACACAGCAGTGGGAGCCGAGCAGCCGCCTGGATTTAGCGGAGGAGAAAGCTTTGGCCTGGGTCTGCCCGAAAAGTCCGCTGGCTGAGGTGTGGAGGGGAGTGTAATCCCCAACAAGCCATTCCAGCCAGCTGTCACCCGGCCCCGTGTCTCGGGCGGTTGCGTAAGAAAATACACTGTGTGACAGTTGAATCATAGGCATGGCATGAAAGGCCCTCGTTAAGCCAAAGGATTGTTAGGAGGAAGACTGAAATAAAGCGTTTACTTTTGTGCAGCGAGTGCAGTAAGTAAACGTCCCACCTGCAGTGTTCTCCGCGTGACTTCTTGAAAGGTGTTTGCTCTTCTCAAAGTCTGTGGTGACGTGGAGTTGCTTCAGACATCTTAATATTTTGAGAATTTATTTCGAACAACTCCTCCCATCATCCGCCTAACTATCGAGTTTCACTTTGCCTACTTTTGAGACAATTTAAAAAAACACTCATGTTTGCTTCAAGTTTTTAAACAAATCTTAAGGGGTTTTTCTGAGTAGTTACACAGAAAGGTGTCTTTAGCTGTTTTGTCAGTGCTTTCGTTACATATATTATCATGGTTTGATATTTTCATGCTATTGTGACAAAAAAACATTGTTCTCTTTTTTTCTTTTGTTTCTATGCAAGGAGAAGGTGATGGTTTACCATATATTCTTGGAGCACACTATATGCTTGTAGTTGTGGTAACGTAATAGCAGCTCAGGAGAGGATGAAGAGCAAGCAGTGTGCCTGAGCAGTAACAACACGGAAGTGGGATGTTTTCTCTTAGAAGCTACAGTGAAAGAGATGAATAAAACAAAACACAAGATGAGCATTCTAGAATGCTTATCTGGTGATGTTGTTGTTATGTCAATATCCCTTTACCTGAACCTGACTGAGCTGTCAAAAAGAACTGTGAAGAGGGGAAAAAAGGTAGTAAGTTAAAACAGTTGGGAGTTGGACTAGATGATCTCTATGGTCCCTTCCAACTCTAAAAATTCAGTGAAATTCAGTGAAACAGTGGCACCAGAGAGGGAGGTTTGGGGTTTTTGTGGGTGGGTTTTTTGGTTTGGTTTTTTTACAGATGTTGTAGGACTAGTTCTGCAAGTTGAACAGGCTGCTTTCCTGGGTCTCTAAGCAGCACAACTGTTATTTATTGTGTGAGTCACTGCATGATCTCTGATAGAGTATTTTCCTGTCTGGCCTCTACACATATATGCACACAAAAATATCCTAGAGAGTTGGTTCGTCAGGAAAGGCTTCAAAGAGAAACTGAGTTCTAACATCAGTTTTGTAACTGAATTAATCTCTTTACTATCCACATGGCAGTTTTTCTTCCCTTTTTAAATATTTTATATCATATAGAACTGGATACACAGTACCATTCACTCAAATAAATAAAATTTTTTAACAGCTTTTGAATGTAGCCAGGATTCGCTGTGGGCATTAACTGTAATATGTAACTGTGAGTTTTTTTCTTTCTGTTTCACGTGAATGATTTCTTTTCTTTCTCTGTCTGCCAGTTCATGCAGATGGCTGTACACAGGGACGAACCTTCCTGAAGAACATGCATTAGATAGTGTGTGGTAAAAGGCAAGGGTGCATTTTTCTTTTGGCAAACTGTCATGTACAAATTCTAGTGCTAAGGGATTAAGTTTTAGTGCTAAAGATATACACAGGAGCCTTTATAATGACGACTAGACCCGCTTCTGCTATTTGAGACATTTGAAAATATATGAAGTGCTGATTAATGTCATAGTTCAGATACAGACTGTATTGAATGATGACAGTTTTGTATTTCTGTTTTGTGTAGTCCTGAATGATCAGATGTGCCACAGATGTTTAGGGTGTGATGAGGAAAGGGAAGAAATAGTAGCAATTTGATCAGGGGGACTGATACAGGAATGAGACATTCTTCCTTTCCACCTCTCACTAGCTCAGTAGATCAGAAGAATGCTCAGAGCTGCTGAGAGTGGATCTTCTGTAAATCACTGCTAAATAATAATTTTTTTTTTCAGGTATTTGGCCTGTCTTTGACTACTGTTCTACACTGCCTAATGCAATACTATCTTGAAAGGCTGTAGAGTGCTTTTTAGCTTAAAATTTTTATCCTGCTGCATTTGTGCATTGCATTAGCAATGTTGAATATTAACTACAGTAGCTTCAGGTTGTAATGTGTGTGGAGTTGAGGTAGTTATTTGCAGTGTTGTTGCTGCTTCTTTTGGAGAAGCAGTATCTGCAGGGGAAATTAATCTAATATTCTTTTGACTTCTCCCTGCTGGCAGTCACTATCCAGTTGTTTTGTGGTTTTTTGAAAGGTTTTGTGCTCTCTGTCTGGCACTGATCTTAGCATCCATTTTCTAATCTTAAAGCCCATATACCTAATTACTTGCAGAACATGCTGAAATATCCATCTATCTTTCCCCTAATGATCAGTCTTTACTACAGCGTTACTCTGGGATAGGCTAGTTGAGGTGAACACCCTTGCAGCAAAGTTCACTGCCTCTCTACTGTATTTGGGCAACTGCCTACAACAGTGCTGGGAAAGCTTGCATCCTAGGATGAACTGAAGAAGGAAGAGCCAGGACAGGGTAAGACACACTCTGTTGTTAGATACTGAATCTTGGAATTTGTTTATGGGTGCTTGCTTTACATAGTATGTTTCAGAACAGCTGTTTGTGGCACTGAGCTGAGGAATATACATTATGTTATATGAATATACATTTTATGTAAAGTATATTACATAAGTCAACATGGAAGCTTGAGTAGTTCTAGAGATGAAAGCAAATGGCATTCAATGAGAGCATTTAGAACTCCATTGTAATAAGATGGTAAACCACAAAGTGATTCATATTTACACCCAATGACTGATCTGTTTCTCCATTTCTTTCCTCTCATTAAGTTCGCCCCAGATGATAAGCTGCATTTCCCTAAATTTCAGAGGTTATTAACTCTGAACCTGAGCTTTATCATAGTGTTGATACGAGCTACTTCTTCAGCTGGCTGTATGGGTAAATAACTTGTTTCGGTAGAGACGCTGGTCAGGACTTGTGTGAAGGCAGTAGGAACAGAACAGGTGAATGTAGAGCTTAAATGCTGAATCAGTGGTCATGACTTGAACCTCAGAGGGGAGGTATAGATAAGCCATCAGCCAACTGGAATTGTCAGATAACAGTATTTGGTTAGTTTCTGTTCTTGCTGCAAGAGAGTAACTTGGTAGGCTAAAGTCCACTCTCTCACCACCCCTGTTATTCTGGGTTCCAAAGGGCATTCAGGTGTTGGTTATAGCCTTTCATGTAGGCAGAAGAGGAGCAAGCATAGGCATAACATCTATTCTGGACTGTAACCTAACTCAGGGCAAGGAGGGTGGACACAGTGGGGTGGGAGGGGAGAGAGAGTGAGCGCGGGTGTGTGTGTGTGTGTTCAGTCCTTTGTGGAGAAGAGAGTGGGAATTGACTGTTGGGCCTTCAAAGCGTGTACGTTCTCTTGCTGGTTACTGGGATGTTTTCAGATCCATGGTCACTGCTCTGAAAAAAGCTAAACATCTTGATCTCCAAGATTGCTATTTGGAATTGGATTTAGAGAAAGCTTTTGATTTCATGTGTTTTCAAGTCCATAGCAATAAAACACAAAAGGGCCTTAAATGCTAGCCATATAGCCTTCCATATGTAACCAGTATGAATGTAAGGAAAACTTTAAGGCTTTGTTTAAAATGTTAAATATACTTCTCTTTAGTGTTGAGAGATGTTAGTTGTTTAGCTCAAATAAGTAAATTTTAATTAGAGTAAATTACTTAGGGTTATTATGTGGTGTGATTTATGCTGTTTGCCTAACTTTACTTAGCAAGAGTAGCTAGATTTCCTGAAGCCTTTAGGCCCCAATTGAGTTAATTTTCTCAGTAATTTTCCTAGCAGCTGGTACAGTGCTGTGTTTAGTCTCAGTGTGAGGAAATTGTCCATAACACACTGGTGTTTTGGTAGTGTTTTCCCAAGTCTGGGACTTTTCAATTCCCCATGTTCTGCCAGCGAAAGCACAGGCACACAAGAAGCTTAAACCAAAAGATAAGGAGGCTACAACCCTCAGCAGAGACTGCAAATCAACATGATAAGAGCAGTCAATGGCCTGCCTGCCTGGACACACAGAAAGAACCCGATGAGGTGTTAAACTACCCCAGACCAAAAATCACCATTGGACTAAAAGACCGCCTGTCAAATGTGTATTAGAACTCTGAAAAGCTGGTCTCTTGTTTCACATTTACTAGTCTGCGCTAATCTACTCTAACTGCTTTGTAGTCATGGGCCGGAGATCCTGTGGAGTTTTTTTTTTCTGAGAAGTGTAGTTATTCAGAAATGCTGCATTGAGCCTTGTTGATTGAAGTACTGTCACCTGTGCTTCTGACAAGGAAGTTTATGGGTGGCATTGGCATTGTGTTCATTTACGGCAGAATAGACACTGTTGTGTGCTCAGCAGTAGGAGTCTGGTTTCAGTGGAGTAAATCAAAATACCCATAGGTTTACACATAATTAGAAACTTCCAAATAGTGAGGCTTCTTTGAAACCCCATCATTACATGTTGCTTGTGAGTGCTTTAATGCTAGCTTAAGCTAGGAATTATTCTGTGTGCCAAGTTAGTAGGTGTAGGTGCATGTGTTTACTTTATTACATTCTGAACTGCTTTTGGCGGGATGTTAAATGATTTAATATTGGGTTATGTGAACATACAGAGGATGCTGTTTCCTTAATGCCGTTGACCTGACAGTGTGTATACAATATGCACATGGAATATTTTGTGACTGTATACCTTAAGACTGTTTATGTATGTCTATACTGCATAACTGTCATTTCTTTGTGGCATATATAGACATACTATAAGCACCGGCTGAGTTGCACTTGTCCTTGGAAGGAAGTGTGGCAAAAGAAAAGAGGAAAGAGCTATTGACTGAAACAGGGAAATGAGCATAAATAGGTACTAGATAAACTGCTGTGACAGAAACAGAATCTAACCTGTCAGAGTAGTTCTCATTTCAGACCATAAGCATGACCACCTCTTTGTGTATGAGAGCTAACTACCTTCGTAAGAGCTGGGTAGAAAAGGGAAGGGAACAACGAAGTTGACAAACCTTCTTCAGCTCTTTGTATGGATTGGGTTTTGTACCCCTAAAGGAGAGTAAGCTATTAAATGGGTGAAAGGAAGAAAATACGAATGTCTGAATGTTTAAGTAATGTACAAAATACATTAAAAAGTGAGTATGAATAGGAAAAGTCCGCACAAGAGTTTTTTTTTTTATTTATTTAACTAATAACTTCCCTATTCTAACTGGGAACTGAGATACCAGGAAAGTTTCTTTTCTAGTTTGTCAGGAGAACTTACTGTCACATACTTTGGCAATTTCAAAAATCTTAAAAAACAGCTTATCCAAATCTTAAGTTAGGGACAGCTTTCTTTGCTTCTTCAAGCCTGCATTGCTTTTGAAAGTGTTACACTTTTTTTTTTGGCCAAAGGAAATGTTAAATTTAATGTAGAAAACCACAGTGAACTTCTTTTAGTAATAGTAACATTTAAATATCAGGCATTTTTTCTGAGCAAATTAAACTTTGAAGGTGAATACAGGTCAAGGTTAAACTCTTTACATCTCCCTGCTTGTTTGCTTTACATCAATTCATCATTCTCTATCGACTTTCTAAATCAACAGCCCAGTAGAAGGATTGTAGAGTCATAGTCTCTCTCACATTCAGATGTGTTTAGCCAGTGATTAACTACACCACCCCATACCTGAAGTGCCAACGTTGAGTGAAAAATACAGGAAATCGCTGAAGGGGAGGAGGAGACTGTTTTCTGTGTGTGCTTGTTAGAAGGAGGACATTAGAACTTAAAAGCTGTTGTCTTGCTTCCAGTTGTTACCTTCTGAGCAGATACATGTGGTTTCTTTGAGATGCTATGTAAAATTTGTGGTCCTACAGGTGACAAAGTTGGAAAGTCCAGGCGTTTTTATGCCTGATCAAGATTTTTATTTACACAAATGTAATCCCCATAGCTACAATCTAATTTGGTGTCAAAAGACTCTTTGGCAGCATTTTGGTTGATGTTCATAATTTTTGTCTTTACACTGGCTATTTGAAGTGTGCTGATCATACCAAGAAAATGGAACTGTTCAAGTGTGACAGTGTAAAAATAGTCTAAATACACAGACCAGCTGTGATAGAGATTCATTGCCTTTATGTGGATAATGTGATTGTTGCTGTGCAATTGAATTACATTAACTTTACTTTACTTTAGAGTTTTGTGTGTGTTACTTATTTTTGAAGGACATTTTACAGTGGTGAAATGATGTGTTAATATAGAGGAGCTGTGTTAATACAGAGTCTTTGGGATGAGCGCATCGGGTAAGATGCAAGGCTTTGTTGTTTAAAGCAAAAGTGAAGAAGTCCCAATAATATACTCTTTATGCCACATGACTGCTCTCTTGGCCTTGCAATGAGGTGGCATTTTCATGCAAAGAGCAACACAAAAAGGGGTCTTTGACATTTAGGATGGTCTGCACTTCAGTTTGAGAAAAAGCAAAAATAAAAAAGTTCATCACTGCATGATTGTGTGTATTCTGGAGCCAGATGATAAGCATACTGGAAAGGAGGAAAGCTTTATAAAACTCATTTGGAATTAATTATGCATATTTGCTTGTTCCTTAGCAAAAGTTAAGCATAATTTGTAATAGGCTGCCTGTTTGACGAACTTCAGATTTCCTTCAGATGAGAGGTGAAAGCAGTTCCTAGTTTCCTCTTCTGCGCTGTTTATGCCACATGCAGTTCTGCGTGTGGCCTCTTGCATTCCAAGTGCGTTACGAATTGCTGAGCCAGTCCCTGCATCACTTAGTAACAGGACTCCCATCCCCAGCCCCCAGCCGTGATGTCAGGATGTATTACTGGAAATGAGGTAGTTTTCAGCAAGGAAGGTAACTCCCTTCGGAAGGACAACCAGCTGTCTTCAGATTAAACTATTGCAGTCTTTTGACGTTTATTGGGTTCTGCCGTATCAATACTAAAAATAGTTGATCACACTAAAGAACACCTGGGAATACAAATTACAGTGTTTGTGTCTTTCTCCCCTCCTGCATTACTAATTAATGCAAATCAGGAGAGTGAGAGTGAGAAGTGAGAAGTTCAGTCTGATTTGCAGGTTATTAGAAGCTTATTGAGGCTGTAATACTTTGAGCCTTGCTTTGTGCTAGTCAAGCACTGAAAAGAAGGCTTATCTTCAAATTGCTTGAATTTTGAAAGAATGAACAGTCAGTGCTGACAGCAGTTTGAATTGCCAACCCTTTAAAAGATATTTGCTGAGAACTTACCAATGATTTTCTTCTCTCAGAAAGTTTCCACATTAGCTATATGTTTGTGTTTCTTGGAAAATTTAATTCTTAATGCATAGCTGACATCAGAACCACTTCTTTCTGTATTCAATATTCAAGCATTCTGCAAAACCTTGTTTCTGTCTTTTTTTTTTTTTTTTTTTTAACTTTCAGTTACCAGTAAGTGCTAAAGCAGAAAAGCAGCAAGAGAAAGAGCTTTCACCAGCAGGAATCTGTTTTCTCCAGAGGATGGCTCTGGCCTTTTACAGAGGTTGATTTGGGAATATTTTTCTGTCCGGTTCTCCTTTTAGGGTGAGGTGTTGGCCCAGCCCTAACAAAATCTTAAAGGCCATCTGGGATGCCAAAACCTTTTTTTTTTTTTTTTTTTTTTTTTTTTTTAACATGACAATTCTGTATTTGATCATTTGGAAAAAAGTTTACTGACTTACACCGTTAGTTAACCGCACCAGGGGAAAACTCTTACTGAATGGTTGAAGTTTGCTAAAAATGGAAACAATGGGAAACAAATCCCATAGTATAGTCTTACTTGTAAGTAGCATTTCCTCTGCCACATACGTTTTTCAGAATAGAATAAGATACTCTATTTTTAAAGTTAGACTTGTTCTTTTGTCTAATGTATTGAAGTAGAACTTTGTGGACTAGTAAGAAGCTCTTGTGGGTCATAAAATCCGTAAATTACTTTAGAAGCTACTGTATGCATAGAATAACCTTTCAGTTTATTTGTAAAAGAAAAATCTAAACTATAATCCCAATTAATGCAGAATCTGTTCCAATGAACTTTTAGGTATTTTAAGAAATAGATGTGGTTTAGACTATATTCATAAGGTAATCTTGGTACAGGAGCCATTTTTAAGCTGTCTTAAAAAAAACACAATAGATTTCTTTTTTTTTTGCTATATGCATTTTCTTTTAATTGTGAAATTTCCAGTTCTAATGAATGAATACACACAACCATATGATAAAGTTACTGCTGACATTTTTAGATAGAGAAGAAATAAAAATAGGTTTAATGTAGATCTATATATTGCTTGTTATTTCAGGTAACAGTGTTTGGTACTAAACAGCAGTTTGGTACTACTTCCTATCTCGAAATAACTTCTCTTGTACAAATAGTAGTGGCCAGTTGACATTTTGTATCCCTGAGCAAACTAAACCCGAAATGTTGTAGAAGATCTTAAGGTCAACTTTGCACTGTATTGAAAATATACCAGTTTAAATGACCATTTTGAGGATTTTATCTTATTTACTTGAGAGCAAAAATGTACTATTATTTCATAAAGAAAGCTTATGATGAAAGAGATATTGAATGATTAGACTGCAAATAATGTGTGGGTTCTCCTTTATTGTGATCTGAGAAAAAATCCTGAGACTACTTAAAATGTATAGTATAGTGGTAGCTTGAGCAGTAATAAGTTAAATATTAAGTCTTCTGAGTTATGTTCTTTGGGACAAAAAAAAGACATCTTTCAGGGCTCATTTCTACTTAAATATGTTTTGTAAAATGTCTAGAGATTAAAAAAAATATAATCTATTATCAACAATGTAATAACAAAAATAAGCACTACTATTAACTATTAAGATGATGATGATAAATAATAATGAAGGTAAAGGACCTTGAGGTAAAGGACTGCCTCAACACTCTTTCCGCTGAAGAAAATTACTAACAGTAAATATATATGAAATGGTTATGTTAATATCAAACATCTGTCTAAATACTGTATTAATCATGTGATGGGTGGAAATGCTTTGTAAGCAAAAAAAGTTCCACAAAAGTTGGAAATCTTCAATGTGTTCTTATTTTAATTTTTATTTATTTATTCAGAAAATAAATGCTAAGCTTCATGATGGAGTGTGTCAGCATTGCAAAGGTATCTTGGAGTGGCGGGTAAAATTCAGCAAGTATAAACCACTATCAAAACCTAAAAAATGGTGAGTTAAAATACTTTGTGTTAATTGCTTATAATGTAGTTTGTGAACTTTTTGGAAAATATTCTAATTTTGGAAACTCATAAGCGGTAGCTGCTACTATATACAAACTTCAAACTTGGAGTCTGCAATGACAATATGTATGCAATATTAGTTTCCTAATTCATTAGTCTTTTATCTTAAAATTTTGAAAACAAAACACAATGGAAAAGCAACCGCTTCCCTCTTAGCTGTTAAAATGCTTGAACTGTGGGCCTGTAAGTTTCCAAAACGTCAGTGTATCCTCTTGAACAAAAAGTCAAACCTGAACCAGTTGTGACACAGTTTTCCAAAGCCTCATTGCAAGTCAGTACTAGAGCAATCTGCACTTCTCTTTCGTAGTTCCCAAGGACATTACTGAGGCCTCATTTCCTACAAAACGATCTCGGTGTATACATTTCATTGCCACTTAACATGTCCTCTCTTTCTATATATAAGACTATAATCCTAAATATTAAATGTTTAGCATTGTTTGCATACAGTTTTCTACTATTGGAATGTATAGGTTTGTGATAGGTTAATTTTCTGTAGTAGATACTCCCCTTCCTTCTTACTTGCTCAGCGGCAGAGGTCCTTACCTTACAGCCAGTGTTTCAACAGTGAAACGTTGAATTAAGGAAACTACAGCTGGGCTGTATGATTAGGTAGGAGTCTCACTGTTTCTCAAAGTAAACATTGTGGGTTCTATTAATCACAGATGAAGTTGGGATCTGTCTTTTTTAAGTCTTTCTCAAATGACTATGTGCATCCTGATTAAAAGTAAGGGGCTGTAACAAATCATGTGGTGGTGGATCTGATTCTTTTGCCTCATCTCTGCCTACCACCAACAGAATGAAAAAAACCAACCAATAGGCAAAAAAGCAAGTAAACTAGAGAAACATTGGAAATAGAAAAAGTGGCATTGTGGGACAGCTAGTTATGACAGAATGTGTGATGGTTTTGAACAAATAAATCAAGCTGCAGGCTATTCTGCTCTACAGGTGGTAGTTTCTAGCCCAGCCTACAGCAGTACAATGACTGAGTGGGCCGCTGCTCTAAAAGGGCAAGACTATGAAGATTTTTAATGTCTGAAGCTTCTAGGTGAAGTAAACACATTATAGACATTAAAAATTGATGGATTAAAAATGTGACTACATGGGGGAAAAAAATGAATTCTTTACATCAAAAACAATGGGAATGGAGGACTTCTCTGTACATCAGCATACTTTTTTAACATCTTCTAACTACCATGATTGTTAATACAACCACAAGTTATCACTACTTTACTTTTATTTCAAGTATTTAATTATTATGAATTAAACTATTTAAAAAAAAAAAGAAGTCAATCCACCTTGTGTTGGTAGTGCCTCTGTTTGCTGTCACATGGCTGGGAAGATCTGTAGACTTTTGTTTTTAGTGCTAATGTAGCTGAACAAAGAAGAAGAAAAAAATCCAAACAAACCCAAACTAAGTACATATTTCCAGTGACATCTAACTGTAGATGTTTCCTGGGGGAGAGGGAAGTCCAGAACTAGGCAGTTCAGACTTTGCTTTTGTCATGTGTCCTACAGCAATTCTTGTGATTTTACAGCTTTTTAAGGAATTGGACATCTTAATAATGAAAGTGCAACAGAGCCTAGATGAGGATAGTAGGGAGAAGGCTTAAGAATGGGATTTGAGAGATGGAGTAAAAATTCTGTTTCACTAGATGCTAGTTAGTGCATCTCTCCTTATAAGGCATTCAAAAACACTTGATGTTTTTCTTCAGCCTGTTTTAGCCAAGTCTGCAAATCCACTGTTCCGAACTGTGTGCTAAATCTTTCTTGACAGACTTTTGAGTGCCTGAGAAAGAGTGACTTTTAGGACAACTGCATTACATGGGATATATAGTTCTGAGTTCCGTTCTCCAAAAACCTGAGGCTTTAGAGATGTCAGCTGAAGGGTAGGCCATAGCATTTTAGAAATTACTTAATCTACAGAGTTTTATCATAGCTTGAAAAAGAACAGCCAGAAACCTGTACAGAATTAGGTTGGGTTTGTTCAGAATACAGTTCCTTGCAGGCTTGTGTTCATAGAGAGCAAAGTCCGGCACTGGCTTTGTTTTACTCCAAAACGTTCAAGACATTGTAGTGTTTGAATTGGAAGCTTTTGATTTGTAAAATATATGCTCCGTTTATACCATATGCTTTTATTGGTAAACCAGAAGTAGCTATGTTGCTTTTAAAGTAAAACTGCGTACTGAAATGAATGGAAAGTATTCTTTTGTCACTTCAAATATAAAATTTCTTGATTTTATGTTTCTTCTTCAGTTCTTGTTTTAATGTTAAAGGAGAGGGAAGACAGGCAATGATTTTGATAGTGCTCTGTGCTAAAACACTAATTGTTTCATATGAAACTGGCCTACAGCAGTTGTTCCTCTTTTGAAAAGTATGTCTACATTGGTTTTGAACGTTTAAATGTTTAATAAATATCCATAAATATTTTTTTAATCATGTTTTCTTTCTCTTCACAGTGTGAAGTGCCTACAGAAGACTGTAAAAGATCCTTACCATATTATTTGTCGACCATGTGCGGGTAAACTAGAAATTTGTGCTAAATGTGGAAAAGAGGAGGAAATAGTAATTCCGTAAGTAGCACATAGGTTACATAGTTTCAGTACTGTACAGTTTCTTCCCCTTTTAATAAAGCTTCTTTGGAAACTGCCAAGAAGCTCTTGTACTTTATGCCATATTCTGAATAATCCTGACAGGAATCAGTAGGAGTCATTACCCTCACTTCTGCTGAAACTAGGGTTGAAGTGCCTATTAATGTTAGTAGTGCTGGGCCAAAGAAAGTCTTACTTGGAATAGACACTTTATTTTAATACCAAAGGGTAAATTGCATATCTTCTTTAGGCAAAAAAGCACTTCAAAATGGATTTTGGTATAGAGCATCATAAAATATGCATAAGCCAATTTACTGTTTGCATTTTGTCTGTCATTTGATGATTCATTTACTAGTGAACAGAAAAACTAAACAAGGGCTGATATTGAGGACAGTTACTGCAATCTATTTAGCAGGCTTTTGGTTTTCTAAATTCTTTTACTGGAGTTCTCTCTTTACGGAGCACCCCGTTTTAATTTGTTAGTTTATGACAACTGGCCAGCAGTTGTTTCATTGGTCAAAGTGTTTGTATATCTAATTTTTTTTTTCACAGACTTTTTTAGTTTTATGGTCTTTTATTTATTTCCTATGCAACGTGAAAGTAACTTTAGGTTATTGTACCTCTCCTCTTCCTCCCAATCTCACTGCTGCCTTCCATCCCCAGTGGAATATTCTACCCTTGATCCCATTCTTATTTAAAAGAAAAATAAATTCCAAATGTGGGTGGTGATAATATCCTCTTGCTTTCTGCAGGATTGATAAAGGACAAGACAGAACTAAGAGCGCAACTACTAAAAATGGGCAAGAGAGCAGTGGATTGGAGGATGAGCTGGATTCTGATACAAACTTCAGTAGTACAGACGGTGATGAAGATTCTGATGTGCTTGAAGAACAATTTAAAAATATGAATTTTGAAAGGACAGAGATCTAAAAGGTTGAGTTTATGTGAGAGACCATATGTAATCAAAACTGGTAAACCAAGATTTACCTTAAACTACTTTGAAAACCTGATTTGATATCTGAGGTCCTTGAAAGTAAATGTTGGCAGTATGTATTATGATGCTCGTCAGGGGTTTTGTATAAATATATATTTTTTTTTGTATTAAGAGAAATATTTCTTGTGAAAAGATTCGGAAATTGAATCTTTAAGCACAGTTGTTTCTTGCATACACGTAATAACTTCCTGTTGCTCTGGAATAAAGCCTCTACGTGTAATTGTTCCAAATTCAATATTACATGACTGCTGTATTGCCACTTGAAAAGCAACGTGCAAGTTGAGAGTAAATACAGAGTCTTGTCATAAAAAGGAAGAGCTAAACCAGCTGTAATCGATTGCTGGAGGAAGAACTTGCAACATCTGTCAATGAGTTTCCAAACAGGGTCAAAATACCAAGTGGTCATTACCCTTATGCCTGTTGTTTCTTTTCTGTGCAAAAAAAGAGGACATAAATGTCACCAGCAGTACAGTTCATGAGCAGTTAGTGCTTATTTACCATATGTAAGTATGCATTATATATTTGTGACCTTGTTACTACCTATGTTTTGAAAAGAAAAAAACCTGAAGACTTTTTAGAATTTCTCATGACGAGTCTCACGCTTTCTTTTCCTTTGACTGCAGATCTAATGTAGTTTACTTTGATATGAAAACACTTGTGTAGTGTAGTGTTGCTTATATAATTACTCTCTTCCTGATTTTCAGTTCTTCCTAGGGGTTATTTCAATGTAGATTAAGCTACCTGAATTTACAGTAAATATCTGTTAGGGCATTCAGGCTGGTTTGATTTCTTTTGTATTGTCTGCTACCTCTATAAATAAAGCTGAAAATGTCCTTTTAGTAATTAAATGGTTTAACGTATTAGGATATATATGCCATTTTTACTAACTGCATAACAGCTACACATCTGCTTAGGTGTTCTGGCTGATTTGCAGTAGTGGGCACAGAAAAATTTGATTCCCAAACTACCTTCTACAAATTAATTGTGAATGACTTCAGCTCTGGGATTATTTTCCCCCTCCCCCAATGGGAAGAATACTGAAACTTTATCCTTTGGGTAGAGATAGCCACCCTGTGGCTGCTGTAGTTGACCTTAATTTTAAAGAAAATCTAGTTACCAAGATGTGGAGTACTAAGACATTCCATCAGGCAATAGCCTAGAAACTGTTCTGACTTAGAGGAAAACTTTTTTATTTAGTATTGACAATAACAGGCAGCAGCAAAATTCTTGTAATCAGTAATGGGGCAGTGAGCTCTTACAGTTTTTTCTGAATTGTTTAGGTGCTTGTCACTACACATAAGGCCTTAAGAATACGCCTTTAAGAAAAATTATATTTTACTTATTTAGATATGTCTTTCACTTTTTATATTGTACATTAAAACACCCTTTTACCTTTTCTAAACTATTTGTAAGTTTGTATCTTAATATCTAAAACAATCTTTTTAATGATCTCTAAGGGCTAGTAGTCTGCTTGGTTTCTTTTTTTGTTGTTGTTTTGTTTTTTGTTTTTGTTTGTTTGGTTTTTTTTGTTTATTGTTGTTGTTCCTTTTCCATGCTGCCCTTCTGCAGCTGAAGAATTAAATTCCCTAAGATTATTTTAATTTTTCAGTCACATGTAGGTCTTTTGTATAGGTAGATTTTTGCCAAGCATTCTGTGGTGACCACTAGCAGTAAATTATTGAAACACATTCTGCTGGTCTACTCTCTTCCATGTTGTGATGCATCGTGACTTTTGTGGCTTTTCACTTAGACAAAGTTTAAAGTTCACTAAGTGTTTGGGTGGTATTACGTTTCCTCCTGGGGTTGCTTATTACGTGGTTGTTTGCAGTCATAAAGGACTGGAACTAATGAAGCAAACAACCTATCTCCTTTCTCTGCCCATTCTATAAACATGTTATTTATAAGCTAAACCACTAGTTTTGTGATTAAACATACCATTTTTTTTACTTAACGGCAACTAATAAAACCCAAGAAATTTAGAAGTTTAAAATTTGTAGAAGGGCGATGGTTTGTGTTGGAAGAGTCAGTGAAGCTGCAAAGCACCAAGAGATGCTTAGTGGCAGAAAAGGAGGTTGTTTGGTGCATTTAGAAATGACTGGAAATTGGTGTGAAGGTCATGTTGAATTGACAGATAAATCCTCCCAGCAGGATTGCAGTGACGTCTGACTTTGTGTGACATCGCCTGTTGTCCTGCCAGTTGACGTTGATAAAGACAGTAAACACAGAACATCCCCCATACGCGCTGCAGATGATGGGGCCAGGGGTAAAGGGGAGTTAATAAGTAATCTGGAGTTAGCTTCAGAAAGGGTGTCTCTGGAGGGGAAACCACCAGTGTCATCAAAAGTGAACTTGGCTTTTGAAAGTGACATACGTGTGGGAAGTGTTCTTCCACTCGGAAAAATTAGGTAATGGCCTAGCCCTTTCCCCAAAGGTGAGAGGAAATCCTGAAATGACAGGAAACCATGTCATGGAACTGGCAGGAGTTGTATAATGAGAAAACAAGGGGAAGGGCTCTCTTCTCAAAGTGATGACACAACTTGTCAGTACCACGGAAGAGCAGTGTCAGACAGATAAGCATCATGTAGCAGCAAAGTACAAAGGTTAGGGAAGGTCCTCTGTGGCTAACATCTTCACACAGCTGGTGCTCTGTTCAGAGTCCAGGAGGGCACTTGACACTTCAGGTGAGGACGCTTTGCTGTGGGTGAGCACAGCTGCAGTGGTGCCTGGCTGCTGTTAGTCCAGCCTCTCTGAAGACAGCTCTGGATTCCAGCAAGCGTTCTGTCTTTGGTTGTAGCTGCGGTTCAAGGACAGGCTGCTGGAAATGATTGCTGCAACTCAAACATGCACCATGGTGGTTGTGAGTCAGCTACCGATATTGCTAACTTGGAGGTTGGGCACATTTGCTATTATAGGAAAAAGAGTTTGCATTTATTGAAGACACCTTTAATGGGAATAAAAGGAACAATTTTAGTTTTCTTGTTTAATTTTGGCTGAAATTAGAACATACTGGCTGAAAGTAGAACATACTGGAATTACAGTAAGAGATTATTTTTTGTAGACTTTTAAATAGTAGGTCTGTATTGCTAGGGAGTTTTTTTGTGAAGAAACTGTTGAACAGAGGATTATGCAGGGGCAGAACCCTTTAAACTCTGATCTTCAATAAAATTGTATCTATATGAGAAAATAATAAAAAAAAAAAAGAAGGAGGGAGATCAGAAGCCATCAAAGAGATTTCTGAGACAATCTTTAGGTTAGCTTGAGATGTGGAAAGGTTTCTACCTCTTCTTTCACAAAGAAGAATGAGTTTGTGTTTGTAAACTTCAAAAGAGGGGAACTAAGTATGCCACCATGCTTGCAGGATATTGAGATGTAGGGTCAAGTATGACTGATTGGGAGTTCCAAGAATTTAACTGAACCTTGTGAGTCCTTACAGAATACACTACTGAAGAAGAGAATGACAGATGTTAATAATTAGTCATCTGAAGAATAAAGGAGATGTAGTGATGCTGCTGACACAGTTGGATTCCTGTTAACTGATTGTCCTTAGGAGTGTTACCAGTTCTCATTTAGTGTGACTCAACACTGACAGTAATTAATTAGATAATGGACTGTCAGCAGACATGCAAGATGATTCTCACTTCACAAGAGGAAATGCTTATCATAGGCTTGAGCTGTCAGAACTTGTCACTGTTGACTTGTACAGGTTTCCGGAAAAACAATTCCCATATGTAGGGATTTCTTAAGATGATGGGGATTCATTGCAGTAGGAGGAGAGTCCAGTATGGACACAGTGCTGCCTCCTAGCATAAATCCGTAGCAGTCTTCTCTGTCCAAGTTCACAGGCATCTCTGAAACATCCTATTATCAAATGGTTTGAATTATCGGGCTATACAAAAAACACTGCCCAGTGAGTTACTTCTGGTTTCGCATGGGCTGGGCTCTTCTGTTCTCATCCTGGCTGCTGATTAATCAGTATTCCTCTAAAGTACTAAAATAATACCAGCCTCTGAAGGTTTATAGAACTACTGGTTAATTAGGAAAAGGATGGGTTGTTTTCTCCCTATAATGGGCACGTACTTGGATGCTGAGATGCAAATCATAGCATTAGCAAGGAAAAAAAGGAAAATATAGCAGGTAATCAAAAGTGAGCCACCTTGTAACCCTCTAGCCCTACAATTATATGTGTTTTCTTTGTTCAGGAGTTCTCACAAGTAAACGGATGCTGGTGGAAAATGCAAAACTACCTCTGCTTATAGGAAGCATCAGGCTGACTTACAGAGTTAATGAGGAAAGGATTTTAAGTAGCACGGAGAGACATTCTTAATAATCAGATGTTTAGGGAGCTGGTCATGCACACTGTCAGCATCTGTTTCACTTCATTCTTCTGCCTACCTTTTATCTGAAAGCTATTAAAAGACAAAACTGTATAAGAAAGTATGTGCACTGCATACATGCTCTCATCACATCCATGTAAAGTAGGGTTTCTAAACCTCAGAACAGTTGAAAGTACTCTAGTATTTGAAGTGAGGTAGATCTGTCTAGAGATTAACAACATGTTCTCAGACAAATCACCTATAGCAGACTAGAAATGAAATATTTGGTGTATTTTGGGTAGCAGATTTTCCTGAGGGACCTCTAAAACAGTAAAGATGCAATCATGCAGGAGTTATCTTTTTTCCTACTGAAGTCAGTGAGAAAACAACTGTCTGTAATAATAGGGATAGGACTCATAATTCAGTCATGAATTAGAAGCTTGAAAACAGGGCCTGAAGACCACATCCACATTCATATTACCTGAATTTCACCTATGTGTAGCATTTGTACTTCCATTCACCTTGATATAGCTTTAGAAACCCAAGCTAAAAGGATCTGTTGGAGTGCTTTAAAGCACTTCTATTATTATATGAAACCAAGTATTTTAATATTCTTCCTAAAACTGCAACACAGAAGACCATGTTTTTGTACAAAATCATATGGATTATGCATGTTCCTGAATGGCAGCACTCAGTTGAAATTTCTGTTTTTAGGACAGCTTGCATTTCTAAGTCTCACGTTTGTCACAGACACGCTCCTTGTACTTGGCTTGCAGTTCCCTGAATCTTACCTGAGCAAGTGTGACACAATGTGTGAAAAGAATCTATCGCAAGTATCCATAGTTTACATATTAGTATATGTAGCAGCACTGAAACTTGTAGCATTTATTAAATCAGTAATTGCAAACTACATATGCAACAGTTCAATTTTTTTTTTTTCTCATAGACTTTACTCTTTCTCCTTACTATTTTATTACTTTTAGGGTTATTTTCTATCTTTGTCCAACAGTGTGGTTCTGCATTGTAGAACTGTAGAAGTTGCTAGCTGATGCAGCCTCTGACTGACAGCAACAATAGATTACTCTGGGTTATTCCCAGTAACAGCAACAGAGTTGACGCCAGAACAAACTGCTTGCTTTGAAGTAGTGGTGTTTGTGAGATGTGTGTGAAATGAAATGAAGCCGCAGGCCTTGGGGGAAAGGATAAAATGCCCCTACAATATTTTTTATTATAGCAGAGAAATGTGGAATAACTCTAAACCTTCAGTTTCCAAGGAAAAATAATCCCTATAAAATCAGACTACGTCTATTCTTCTATCAACAGCAAATTTACTATTGCTTACATGACAAAGATTTAAAGTTATTCCTTGGGAGTGGCTAATATCTCATGCTCAAAGGATAATGGCTCTTTAATATTGTCTTTCTTGTCTTTTTTTCTCAGTCTTTCTTGTAATAAGTGAGTGATGGAACCTTCCAGAATGCAACAAGCTTGCACCTGCATTATTTGGAGAAAAGACATAATATATTCTTTATGTTATAAAACTGTAATCCTATGCTCTGAAAAGATCATAAGGAATTTGGTATAAATGCCTAGCAAGACTAATGGTGTTATGCCAAAATCTTCCTATTTTAGGAAAGTATTACATGAAGGATTAAGCCATCTCAAAACTATGCAGTGACTGGAGCTTCAGAGCTATTGTTTTTGCTGTGTTTCAGCAGAAAGTTTTCTACTCTTTCCAGTTTTTGTATTAGCTTGGGTTGCATTTGAGTATAAGTAGTACCGCCGTTATGTGGATCTCTCTGCATCAAGAAGGAATTATATTTTGGATCACCACATTCAATCAATGGCTTCTTTCACTGTCTTTGGTCTGTGGAGACCAAAGATAGATGATGGCTGCCTACACTACTTCAAAAAAATCGCATTAACAACTGACTGGCTGTGACAAAAAGTGGACTGTAACACTTACCCTGAGCGCTTCAGAAATGTGTCCTGTTGAGCATTCTTGTCTCCTGCCACTCTGAGTATGTGGCAGTCCAGACCTCTCTCTACTATAGAGGCTGGAATTAAAAGTGTGTATTGTTCTCCCACTGAGCAGAGACGTTTTGCTTGCCATTAATGGGAACACAGTGTGTGGCTCAAAAAGAAGGGTAATGTATATGCCTCTAGTCTTCAAAATGGAGAGGGGGCTCTTTGCCAAGTATCTGAGGGTGTCAGGCAGGGTGCCCAAGCCAGGTCTGTCAAAACGCCATTTAGAAGAAAAAAGAAAAAGGAAAGAAAAAAAAAAGAAGAAGAAAAAGCTTCTAACTGAAATAAACACAGCACTGAGCTTGTGAGTATGGAAATACAGAGGTTCACACAGGCTGCAACTGCCTCTCTTCATCTTCACAGTCTCCAGCTGTCACTGTAATGTGCATGGAAATTAATCCAAATAATAAACCTACAGCTTTACCATAATTAGCTCGACAAGAAGTTGGTGTTTAGTGCCCCCTAGCATTTTAAATGAGATTTGCAAGCAGGCTCTAAGCGAGATACCTGTTGCTGTTTGAGTTCTCTTAATTTGAGGTGAAAAGGAAAGCAACCTAAATTAAACTTTGTAATAGAAACTATTCTGTAATGTACTTGTTCTCCTGGGGCCTGATTGGCAATTACCTAGAAAGAATAATTCAGATTAAGAACCCCGTTCCTGGAACTGAAGTGTGACATTCACAGTGACAAAATACAGAGTTATCACCACTTCAGCTCTCTAATTTGATGGGCTTTTTAATGACTTTTTTTTTTTTTTCCCCTTCACATTAAATCTATGCTTACCATTAGTTACACTTTTGAGCATAGCTCTGTTGTGCACAAAGCTACTGCTATAACACCACCACCACTGTGTTGTGTTATTCTGCAGCTGGGACTGGTTTCCTCCTTCCTGAAAGTAAGTAGTGTTATAAGGGAGCTTGATTTACTGATCTCGAGTAAACTATATTGGTGGCTAAATATATCTTCTCTAACTGATATAATATCAAAATAGTCCACTGAGCTTCATGTTTGACTTATTGTCATTGGTTTTTTTTTAATGTGTGTGGTTTTATTTGCAGGAGCGTTTTGCTACTCCATTATAGTTAAGGGCCCCATTATAGTTAAGGGCCCCAAATCTGCGTGGCAGTTGCTGTACCAGAGTATACTGTGTAAATCAGTTAGGGTATGCATGAGGTCACAGGAGCTATAAGACCAGCAAGAGACTAGCAGCAGAACCCAAAACTCTTATATCCTCCAGTTCCTTACCCATTTGATTTTGCTGCCCACCGTAGACCTGTATACATGGTATACAAATGAGTGGTATGACCTTGTGTACAGTAAGGATCCTAAAAAAAAAAATCTTTTTAATAAATGTGGAACAAAGAAAACAGTGCTGTAAAAACCCCACACTTGTGTTCAAGTGCACACTTGTGTTCAAGCACATTTGCTTGCCGGTGATGTGTTGATGTATGGTGAATGGCTGAGCAAAGATGCAAGACTTTTTCGTGCTACGTTTACGGACACTCTCGCATTCCTCTCTCGAAGAAGCTCTTTGACAACACCAGGTGTCACTATAACAAAGTGAAAAAGTTGGCTTGGCAGTTAGCTTCACACAGCGTGGTGATAAAGGCTTTAAAAACCATCAGCGATCTCAGGGAACCAGGCTGCGTATCTTGAAAGCAGTTTGTTTTCATACCCCAGAGCTGGCTGGCCTGGCTTTTACCTCTCAGGGATCCAACTCTCCCTGATTTGTGCTGCCAGCTGCCACCCAGATGGTCTGAGCTTCTAGTAAGCTGCTTGGGAGAGGAGCTGGGATCAAGGACAGCCACCTGAGCTAGGAATTCTGCTTTTAACTTGGAGTCTGCTTTTAGGGAAACCTTAAAAGGCCATACTTCCCAAACTGGCCTCCACACCTGCAGCTGCAGTAACACAAATAGACAAATACTGAACTTTCCACAAGTCAGTGCTAGCATGCTTATTCTGTAATCCACCACTCCATCATGCAAGTTAAAAAAACCAACAATCACAACACTGAACAAACCAAATACAATCACACCAGAGGAAGGATTACACATTGTTATGTTAAACTCAGCTAGTTAATGTCCTCAGAAGTCTTGGAAAAATGGTGTAGACTGGTTGAGAGAGAAAGAAGCCTGAAAATGAAAAATGTCATGACCAAACGACAGTTTACCCAGAACACTTTTTTGAGCAGCAGCTTCTCAGGAGCACCTCTGAGCCACTAGTTGACAGGGCCTGAGAGCAGGCATGTGTCAGGCCCAACAAAATTTTTACTCTTCCTTCCACCTAGCCCAGAACACGAGCAGATGAAAAAGGGTTAGTTTGGCTTCCTCTGTTGAATTACGCCTCAATATGTACCCTCTCATTCACTGTGGTGGGCTAACAGCTGAATGCCTAAGCAGCTGCTGGCTTGCTCCCCTCTCCTGTGGCATGGAAGAAAGTAGAAGGAAGGCAAGGAGCCTTGTGGGTTGAGATAATCACAGAATCTTCTAGGTTGGAAGGGACCTTAAAGATCATCTTGTCCAACTGTCAACCTAACTTTGACAAAAAATAAACACCCACACAACAAACAAAAAGCAACACCATCACTAAACCATATCTCCCAGCATTACATCAACCCATCTTTTGAACACCTCCAGGGATGGTGTCTCAATCACCTCCCTGGGCAGCCCATTCCAATGTCTGATAACCCTTTCGGTGAAAAAATTTTTCCTAATATCCAGCCTGAACCTCCTCTGGCGTAACTTGAGGCTGTTTCCTCTCGTCCTGTCACCTGTGACTTGAGAGAAGAGGCCAACACCCACCTCTCTACACCCTCCTTTCAGGTAGTTGTAGAGAGCAATAAGGTCTCCCCTCAGCCTCCTCAGCCTCTCCTCATAAGACTTGTGCTCCAGACCCCTCACCATCTTTTTTGCTCTTCTCTGGACCCGCTCCAGCACCTCGATGTCTTTTTTATAGTAGGGAGACCAAAACTGGACACAGTACTCAAGGTGGGGCCTCACCAGTGCCGAGTACAGGGGGACAATCACCTCTCGGGCCCTACTCGCCACGCTGTCCTGATACAGGCCAGGATGCTGTTGGCCTTCTTGGCCACCTGGGCACACTGCTGGCTCATGTTCAGCCGACAGTCGACCAACACCCCCAGGTCCTTTTCTGCCCGGCAGCTCTCCAGCCACTCTGCCCCCAGCCTGTAGCGCTGCAGGGGCTTGTTGTGACCCAAGTGCAGGACTTCGCACTTGGCCTTGTTGAACCTCATCCCGTTGGTCTTGGCCCATCGATCCAGCCTGTCGAGATCTCTCTGCAAAGCCTCTCTACCCTCCAGCAGGTTGACACTGCCACCCAGCTTGGTGTTGTCTGTGAACTTACTGAGGGTGCACTCGATCCCCTCGTCCAGATCATTGATAAAGATGTTAAAGAGAATTGGCCCCAGTACCGAGCCCTGTGGGACACCACTCGTGACTGGACGCCAGCTGGATTTAACTCCATTCACCACCACTCTCTGGGTCCGTCCCTCCAGCCAGTTTTTAACCCAGCAGAGGGTATTCCCATCCAAGCCATGGGCAGCCAGTTTCTCCAGGAGGATACTGTGGGAGACTGTATCAAAGGCTTTGCTGAAGTCCAGATAAACAACATCCACAGCCTTTCCTTCATCCAGCAAGTGGGTCACTTTGTCATAGAAGGAGATCAGGTTTGTCAAGCAGGACCTGCCCCTCGTGAACCCGCGCTGGCTGGGCCAGATCGCATGGGTGTCCTTCATGTGTTGCATGATGGCTCCCAGGATGATCTGTTCCATGATCTTCCCAGGCACCGAGGTCAGGCTGACAGGCCTGTAGTTCTCTGGATCATCCTTACGGCCCTTCTTGTGGATGGGCGTCACATTTGCCAGACGC